GTTGTATCTTTACCTGGCTTTGGTATTAGAGTGATGCTGGCTTCATAGAAGGAATTTGGAAGTTCTCCCTCCATTTCTACCTTTTTGAATAAATGAAGTAATAGTGGATGTAGGTCCTCTTTAAATGTCTGGTAGAATTCTGCTGCAAATCCATCTGGTCTTGGCCTTTTTTTAGTTGGGAGCTTTTGTATTATTTTTTCAATTTCTCTTTGTGATATGGGTCTGTTTAAGCTGTTAATCTCTTCTTGGTTTAGTTTTGGTGGTTCCCATGCCTTTAGATATGCATCCATTTCTTTTAGGTTTTCGAATTTGGTAGCATATAGGTTTTTAAAGTATTCCCTTATAATGCTCTGTATCTTTCTGGTGTCTGTTGTGATGTTTCCCCTTTCATCTCTGATTTTGTTGATTTGGAGGTGCTCTTTCTTTCTGTTGGTTAACTGGGCTTACAGTCTATCAATCTTGTTTATCTTTACAAAGAACCAGCTCTTGGTTTCATGGATTCTTTGTATTGTTTTCTTTGTTTCCATTTCATTAATTTCTGTTCTGATTTTTGTTGTTTCTTCTTGTCTGCTGAGTTTGGGTTTCATTTGTTGTTGCTTTTCAAGTGTCTTGAGTTGCAATGTTAAGTCATTTATTTGTGTTCTTATGATTTTTTAATGTAGGCACTTGGAGATATAAACTTCCCTCTAAGGACTGCTTTCAGTGTGTCCCAGAGGTTCTGTTGTGTTGTATTGTCCTTTTCATTTAGTTCATTTTATTTCTTTCTTAATTTCTCCATTGATCCATTCATCATTCAGGAGTGTGTTGTTTAATCTCCACGTGTTCATGTGGTTACTGCGGTTTCTTCTGGTGTTGATTTTAAGCTTTATTGCATTGTGGTCTGATAGAATGCATGGAATTATTTCAGTCTTTTTGTTTTCGTTGAGGCTTGTTTTGTGCCCCAGTATGTGGTCCAATTTGGAGAAAGTTCCAAAAGTATGTCCTTTGGTGCTTGGGTGGAATACTCAGTAGATGTCTGTTAGGTCCATTTGATATATGGTATTGTTTAATTCAAATGTCTCTTTGTTAATTCTTTGTCCTGTTGACCTACCTAATGGCAACAATGGGGTATTATTGTCCCATACTATTAATGAGTTGGGATTAATCTGGGTCTAAAGTCCTGTAGTACTGTTTTTATGAAGTTGGGTGCACCAGAGTTTGGTGAATATATGTTCATGATTGTAATATCTTCTATTGTTCATTTGATCAAAATGAAGTGGACCTCTTTGTCTCTTCTGATTAGTTTTAGTTTAAAGTCTATTGTGTCAGATATTAGAATTGCTATGCCTGCTTTTTTCTTAGTGCCATTTGCTTGGTATATTTTTTTTCCCATCCTTTCACTTTGAGATAGTGTCTGTCCTTGAAAGTGAGATGAGTTTCTTGCATACAACAAAAAGATGGGTTTTGTTTCTTAACCCATTCAATTAGTCTGTATCTTTTGACTGGGGAGTTCAGTCCATTGATATTTAAAGTTATTAATGAAAGATGTGTATTGAATCCTGTCATCTCTATTTCTGTTCACATTTTTGATATAACTGTGCATTTCCACAGATTTTTTCTGCAACCCCATGAGTATAGTCATTCCTTTCTTCAGCTCTTTATATGGCTTCAAGAACTCTCTGAAGGACTAGTTTTGTGGACAAGAATTCTTTCAGCCTATTTATGTCATGGAAGATTTTTCTTTTCCCTTCAACTGTGATAGACATTTTGGCTGGGCAAAGTAATCTGGGTTGGCATCTTGTGGTCATTTAGAACTGGGGCTACTTTGGTCCATGCTCTTCTGGCTTTCATCGTTTGCACTGAAAAGTCAGTTGTAATCCTGATGGGTTTTCCTTTATATATGACTTCTTTTTCTTTTGCAGCTTTCAGTATTGTCTCTTTGTTCTAAACATTTGGTGTTTTTACTATGATGTGCTGTGGTGTTTCTTTTCTGGTTCTGTCTATTTGATGTTCTATATGCTTATTTGTATGAGCATGTCTTTTTTTTAATTTTTGGAAATTTTCTTTCGGTCTACTTCGTCCACTTTGTCTTCCAGTCTTGATACTCTGTTTTCCATTTCGTTCATCCTGTTCTTGAAGCTTTCTCCTGTCGTTTCTAATTGGCTTACTGAGTGTTTCACTTCCTTCTTCATTTCAGCCTGACTATTCTTCAATATTTCTAACTCTTTTCTGAATTCCTTCAGAAGTTTATCCCTATCTTCCTTCAGTTCTTTGATTTCTTTCTTTTGTGCTCTTTAAATTCACCGAATACTTTTTATCATGTTTATAATTGTTCTTTTTAGTTCCATGTCCTGTGTTATCTCTAGGAAGTTCTCATTGTACTCCTCTAGAGGACTATTGGTACTTGGTGGGGATATATTATTTTGGTTTTTCATGTTATTATTTTTTTCTCTGTGACTTTGACATGTGAATTTCTTTCATAGTTTCTGATTCTTATGTGAGACTCAAGCCGTCCTTTGTTGAGTTTAGATCTACTTCTTTTTGCAAACTTTATGTGCCTTTGTGGTTTACTTTTTGGGCATGAAAAGCTGGTTGGTATAGGCTTCATGTTCTCTCTTTTGATTTTGTATTGGAGTGGCCAGATTGCTTTTGTCTTCAGGAGTTCCTACAGAGGCCCAAGTGAGATGAGGCTCAGATGAAATCAGCCTTTCTCCTAAGGTCTGGGTCACTCCAGTAAAGGGAGGTGAGGGCAGGCTACCCTCTTCTAAATTTCACTTTCTCACAATTATGTGTGAAATGAAAAACTTCTAATACCGAATAACAGATAATCGAAAAACAATGTGGGTCCAATAGCTTGGATTTGAATTCTTGACTTCTGAGTTTGGATATGTTATTTACCCCACATGGCATTCATCCTGTGAGATGGTGACAAGTATGTTTGCATATCCAGTGGGGATATTGTGGCACTAAAAACCACTTCATCTGAGCACTATTCATAAACAGCACAGAAAGTAGGGGCTGGAGAAATTGCTCAGTGGTAAAGAGACACAACACATCTTGCAGAGGACCCAAATTTGATTCCCAGTGCCTACTTAGCAGCTCACAACTGTACTGCCGTTTCAGGGCATCCAATGTCCTCTTTTGGCTTCTGCAGGTATTGTACACACATGGTGAACTTACATACATGTAGGCAAATGCCCATACACATAACATAAAATTAATTAAAAAGTAGAAGAAACAGCACAGAAATACACAGATACTAGAGCTTACACTATAACCATTCAACAGTATGAGCCACATCTCCACATCTCCAATAAAAGCATTTCTTGTTGTTAGAGGTACTTAGAGAATTTAAGATCTTTCTACTTACTTGCCATGAAAGACTCATCGCATCAAAGTATCAAGATATTTTGGCTCCAGATTAATTCTTTTGTATAAATTTCTTCATTTTTTTCCTTTACTTCCAAGAAGGACCATGAATCATTCAAAAGACAACACAGATTCCTGAAACTTTTGACTTTGTTTAAAGTTTAAAATGACCATTCCATAATAAACTGAGTTGATGTTTTTGTGGTAAACTCAGAAAAAGACTCAATCTGATTTTCTGTTTTAAGGACAGCATTGGAAATGGTTGAAAGGAATTTAGAAATTAGTCAGCAAAGAGTAGAAATAAAGTCTGCCACATGTTTGAACCATCTTAGAGACTAAGCCTTGGTCTGTTGTTCAGCACTTTTCTCATCTCCTTATCTTATTCCTAACATCATCCACAAAGATGCCTGGGCCATGACAGACACAAAAGATGTGCCAAGGTGATTTGAATGTTTCAAAAGCCAAAGAGTGAGTAAAAGAGAATGATTTCCCTAAAGAAGAACTTTTATTTTTTAAAAATATTTTATTTATTATTTGTTATGTGTGTGAGTGTATTGCCTGCATGAATGTAAGTGCAGCCATATGTGCAGTGCCTGCAGAGGTCAAGGAGGATGTTGGAGCCCCTGTAACTAAAGTGATGAATGGTTGTTAGTCGACATGTGGGTGCTGGGAACTGAACCTGGGTCTTCTGCAAGAGCAGCCACTGCTCTTAACCCTTGAGCTATCTTTCTAGCCCCTAAAGTAGAATGTTTAAAGGAATTTAAATACAGTGGCAATAGTTTTTGTTACAAGTTCAGGAATGTTGAGTGTTGCTCTTACAGAAATGCACCGCCCCCCCAAATCAACTACAAAATGTTTGAAACATGAAGCGTTTCCTGTGTTTTTGTTTGCTTTTTCTATCTTTCTGTGACATCAACAGTGGCTATCAGGTTTCTAATGCTTGTGGTCTACTTTGGTACAGCTTGCCCCCGAGACCAAGGCTGTCATTCACTGGATCATGGACATTCCTTTTGTGCTTTCTGCCAATCTTCACGGAGGAGACCTGGTGGCCAATTATCCATATGACGAGACACGGAGTGGTAGGTAGTTTTCCCTCTTCTCTAAGTGGTTTAAGTCTTGCATTTTCAAGCAAAGCCTTATAGGTTGATTTCTACAGTATTCTTTTTATTGTTGTTTGTTTTGCTTGTTGAGAGAAAGTCTTATTCTGTAGCCCAGGCTGGTCTTGAACTTAGAATCCTCCTGCCTTAGTCTCCTGAGTGCTTGGATTACAATAGGCCTGGGCCACTATATGCTCCTTTTCTTAAAATTCTATTAAGGAACCAGTGCATATAAATGCATGTATTTGACAAGAATCCCCTAGCTATTTCACGTGGTATTAGCTACCTAAATGGCAGAAGAGCAGTGTAACTTTTTGCTTTGTTTTGTTTGGAGACAGGGTTTCCATGTAGTCTCAGCTGCCCTGGAACTCACTGTGTAGACTAGGCTGGCCTAGATCTCATAGATATCTATCTCCTTGTTTCTGCCTCTTGAGTGCTAGGACACCAGGCTTCACTGTAACTTTCCCCCCAAAGTTTAGGTGAAAAAAAATATGACCTTAACCAAACTGTCATAAAAGAAAAGGAAAATCTGGAAGCTAAGAACTCAGGTCAGTTTTGGTTCCTGGTAAAGTGGAGATTACAGAACTTTGGTAGATTTGTATACAGCATGGTTCATACATGGAAGTAGCCTCCAATGCTTAATTAGGGTTATGGGAATCCTTATATGTAGTTTGTTCTCACCTTTTTGCACTGGATTCTCCTCTGATGGTGTCAGGTAGGTGAAGCAGTGCCTTGTTTTTTCTCTGACTAGTTTCAGTCAAGCTTTAGCCAAAGGAAACTTTAGCTAGAGAGAATTTCAACTTGATTTTTGTTGCTCCAGGAACTTTCCTGCTTTGGATCTGTTCTTAGAGACCTTTGAAGAGTAAGCTCTTTGAAAACACAAGATGGTAATTTTAGATATTGAAAACTCAGATTTGAAGGAAGCCTGGTTAAACAACACTGTTAAATACACAGATATTTTGTGGTTTGTCATTAGCTGGGAAACTTGCCAGCCCTGCATAGGTGGGCAATATTAATAACACATGAATAAGAGTACAAGGTATCAGACTAAACAATTACTTCTATAATACACATGGGAGATCATTAAGAACACCTAAAATTGAGTGATGGACATTATGTATATTCATGGTGGATATAACATTGGTACAAGTGAATTTTTAAAATTATTTTTTAATTTTAATTTTTGGTGTTTTGAAAGAGGCTCTCATATAGCTGAGGATTGCCTGGAACTCACTGTGTTGCCAAGGATAATCTTGACCTTCTGATCCATTTGCTTCTGTCTCCCAATTGTTGACATTACAGACACATACTATCATGCTCTAATGTGATGTATGTTTTCTTTTGCCATATTTTTTTATTGAGCTTTTAAAATTTCATAAATTTCCCACTCAAATCAGACTCCTCCCCCAAGCATGCCTCCCCCTCTACCCCCACTGAACCCTATGTACTCTTCCATACATGCTGAGTCCTATTCATTCAGGTATTTGTACCCAAATGTCCTTCAGTGTAAATGTGTCCACTGTTGTCTCATCAGCCCATCCAGTGGTCATATGTAAGTCATACTCTCCCTCACCCAGAGCAACCAGTCTCAAGTAGTTCTCAGTCTAGTGCTGGCCCACCACCTATTTCTCACCTCCTCTTTGGGCCCTTGTTTAATTGAGCTGACATGGGTCCCTCGCTTGAAGCCACTGCTGCCGCAGGCTCACATCAGCAAGCCTCCAGTGGCCTGGAAGCCTCTACCTCCCTGTGTTCATGAATCAGCCCTGGCTCTTACAATCTTTCTGCCTCCTCTTCCACAGTGGTCCCTGAGCTGTGGGTAGGTGAGATTTTGTATAGGAGTCCCATCCTACACTCTACAGTTTCTTTGTCTCCAAAGATTGGTCGGTTGCGGCCTTCTGTGTGTGTGTCATACTCTGATGTACATGGAAACCTCACTGGTGAGAGTTGAGGGGTTCATTAGCCCTCTCTACCCCTTATTCTGCTATGTTCCATGAGCCTTAGTTGTGGAGATGTGACTGTAGATGTGTCACCTAGTACTGGGCATTCAGGCATATGTTCTCTGTGCCTGAGTAGATGTGCAACTCAATAGTAGCCTCCATCTGTTGCAAAAAGAAGCTTCTTTGATGAGTGCTGTATGGCATGCTTGTCACTCTAAGGGAGGTCTCTTCTATCTGGCACTACATTCCCTGCCAAGCAGCTCCCAGGTATACATATGCATTAATGTTCAGAAACACTATGTGCATTTCTCATAGGGATTCTAAGGCATCACTTTTCCCTCTAGGTTTCCTAGCCCCCCAAGGTACATATTTTTAAATTTAAAATTTTTATCAATGGAGATATTTCTGTCCTCATCATCTTTTCTTATGAAGAATGTGTAAGTAGAATGTATATTTTATCTAATTTCCTGTATAAAAGTTATACAACCTAAAAACTAAGTGTATTTGTTTAATATTAAAGTTTCACCTCTTCCTGAATCATTTATCTTTCTAAATACTACATCAGCAGGAGCTTAGCAGCGAATCTATCTTCAGAAAACACACAGTGCCCTTGGGTCTGTGTTAGTTTCTCCTGTCTCCTGAATTTGTTTTCTAGGTAGTGCTCATGAATACAGCTCCTGTCCAGATGATGCCATTTTCCAAAGCTTGGCTCGAGCATACTCTTCTTTCAACCCTGTCATGTCTGACCCCAATCGGCCACCCTGTCGCAAGAATGATGATGACAGCAGCTTTATAGATGGGACGACCAATGGTGGGGCGTGGTACAGTGTACCTGGTGGTGAGTTTCCCTTTTGCTCTCTATGTGACCTTGGCTTCCTTGTAATTACCATGTAGACTCAGTGATTCACATCTAGATAATTTTCATTCTTCCATAGTCATTAAGTAGATGGAACTTTCTGCTCTTCTGACAAAGCTAGTTTTCTACATGAGTAATTACTACTACTATTTTTTTTATTGATTTAAAAATTGAGATGCTAATTGAAGAGACAGGAAAAAGCTAAATGAAGAAGTAGACTGGAAAATACTGAATACTGCTGATTGTCCACTTCTTGAGTTCAGGTCTTTTGCAATAAGTGAGCATCCTCCTGTTAGGCAGTTACAATTTTCATTGTTGGTAAATGTATACTTTAGAGGATATGCTATAGCCTTTAGCAGATCTTGGTACACATACTCTTAAGTTTTTTTGTTTTGTTTTATTTATTTATTTATTTATTTATTTATTTATTTATATTTATTTATTTATTTATCTATTTTTGAAACAGGGTTTCCCTATGTATACTTGGCTGGCCTGGAACTCACTGTATAGACCAGGCTGTCCTTGACCTCACAGAGCTCCATCTACCTCTACCTCCACAGTGCTGGGATTAAAGGCATGTGCCACCACACAAGGCACTTTTAACTTTTTTAAAATGATGAGATAAGGAGACTGTTTGGTGTGGATTACTTGTGTACACTACTGTAGCAAGTACTATTAGATCAAGTTGGTCCTTAGCTGTTATAGAGTCTGCAGGACAAGGCTACATGCAGGATAGCAGCTGCAAGAAGCACCTCCCTCCAAACTGAGGCATTACTTTGGCCTCTCCTGTACTACCGTGGACTTGGTGGACCTCTTATTTGTATAACCACCTAACCACTAACAGTTGTGTCATCCTTCAACCAAGGAAGAAGAATGAGATATAAAATTGTTGAAAATGGTTTTTTTCTTTGGCAAAGAAAAATTTTCTATGGCCCACATGGGAGTCAAATGTAGGAAAAAGGGAGAGACAGGGGTGGGGAGACACACACACACACACACACACACACACACACACACACACACACATACACACACAAGCCCG